GAGGGTGTGAGAGGGTGTGTGGTTGTGCGGTTGTGCGTGTGAGGGTGTGAGAGGGTGTGTGGTTGTGCGTGTGAGGGTGTGTGACGGTTTGAGGGTGTGTGCGTGTGGGTATGTGGGTGGCGCACACACACACACACCGTCACACCCACACACTGTCACACCAACTTCCTCACAGGCTCACACCCACACACTCTCAGACCCACACACCCTCTCATACCCTGAGTGTGGGTATTGCCCTGAGAAAGGCAATATTCAAAGCATGACAGAAGTCATTACAAGTAAAACACGTTTTCATTTATAAAAAAAATCTCAAGATTCACGCACATTCGACATTAAATTCTAACAACTATGTATGATTTTTGGCAATGGATTAATCCATGTGTGGAATGTGGATTGTACACTGGTGAAATGAGAAAGGAAGAGATTGATAAACATACTATGTGGCAATCTGGTTGTTAAAATGTGTGGAATTTTTTAAGTTATATTTTGAATAGTCTTTTTTGAAATCAATGGCCACTTATCTTTTAGGAGGTAGATGCTACAAATATGAAGTTTGCAAGATTTGTTATATTTGGACTCTCTAGTTTAGGAGAACATGAAGTAAAGAGGAGGGGTCAAGTGACTTGTGCTGAATTCCATACAATAACAAGCTTGGGTGATTCGGTTGTTAAAGCAGGGTCAAGGTTGTCTAGCTGGGAAGAAGGAAGAGATATTACACCAATAAATAATGACCAAAGCAACTGCATTGATGATGGACAGGCTGTTAGTCTACAGGTTTGACACAGTTAGGAATGCGAGGTTTTGTCAACAGTTATATGTTAAATCTCTAAAAGTGCACTAATTGCATGATATAATGGGATTGGGGATCCAAACGATACCTAATTATCATATCTACCTGGATACAAAAGCCAATGCACTTCACATTCCACACGAATAGACTTTGAGAAGGCAAGAGTCCATACAAACTCATTGTAGGATTGGGTTGCAGTCTTCTCCCAAGATATCACTGAATCTAACAGATTGGTCATCTACAAATATCTGAGACAGAGTAGAGAGACGGAGGCAGCAAGTCTCTATAAACCACACAGAATGCAAAGGAGTGCTCACGCTCAGATTGAAAAGATGAAATTTGCAAGGATTTAAACAAAGCACAAATATTCTAGCTTTGGCTAGAACAGAAGTTCTGCAGGATAGCTCTTACTATGAAAATCTAATTGGAAGTGTCTGGCTGGGAAACCAACTCGAAGCTGAAAATAGCTCTGGGCTAGTTACTGAAAGCGGTTATGAACCCAGTTGATGTTTTTACTGGTTAAGTCAGATCCCAAAATGAAATCTGGCTTGATAAAAATCAAAACAAAATATGATCTAAGTAACAAGGTGGTCTTTCACTGAAAGTCAAGCACAATACTGCAGATTGGTTTTAAAAACATAACTTTATTGGGCAAAAAAAGGAGATAAAATAGAATAAACCAAGTTATTTCCACAAAACACAACAGAAATACAACCCACCTATCCCAACATTATTACATTACAGTACTCAAACACCAGAGAGAATTTCCTTCTCTATCACATCTAAAAGGCTCACTTAAACATTCCTTTAATTCCTGGACTTGAGAGCTTGATAGCCTTTTTCTTGATTAGCTATACAATCGAGTTAAAACTTTCTTAACTTTAAATAACTCTTTCAGGTTGAAACCCAAACACTTCTGAACTGGAACTTTCAACCAAAAATCATTACACTAAGGTAACCTATTTACTTGTTCTGAACTCCCTCCTTTCTCTGTAAGAAAGCTTTTCATTCATCTAACTTCATGAAGACTTCTGCAAACTGACAAGTTTCACAAACCAAGAGTTTTTTTTCCTCCAAGGCAAAAACAATTCTAATCCCTCAAAACAGAAAGCAAACTAACACTTGAAGGTTTACTCTGTCCATTCATAAAACTCACCCTATGCTAAAAAGTTCTCATAAACCATCCAGGGACTCTACCTCATACTGTCTTTTTTAAAAAAAATTGTGACTCCAAAAGTACTGACAGTTAATATCATTAAGCCCTCTCTTGCAGAAAGATCAAAATCCGCATGCCACTAGTTTCAAATCAAAACAATCATAAATACCTTAAATCACAAGAACGAAGTGTCCATTTATGGAACAGAATGAATTACAAGTAGAGAGGAAAATTTTCCGAAGTTTTAGAAATGTAGTTCAGAATCGAAGTTCTCAGTCACGTAACTTTTATATTATTCATGTTGCCTTTAGTTTATTACAATAAACTTTAAAATATTGAAAAATTTTTCGTCAGCATAATTCAAATAACTTTTGACAAGTTATAGATCTCATCAGCGATGACACTGAATATTTGAAAGGCCCTCAAATAGCTGTGTCAGAGGCTTTGGCCAGGTCAAAGGGAGGGGTGGTGGAGGAGATAAAGATCCATGTTCGGATCTTAGCACTTCTCCTGGAGCTGTCTAAATTTAAAACAGCCCATTCATGATTCCTTGCCCTCTTCTGAAGCTGCATAGTCATTGGTTCTATATTGCACTACGCAGTTAAGAATCCCAAAGATTCTTCCAGTGAAGGAGAGTACAACATTGCTCCAAATTTGGCTAAGGAGACAGTATTATTGTCTTGTTGGGTGGGTCCTTGCTCCCATGGAGTCTAGACATCAGCAAGCTTCTTGTCCGGTCAGTCACCAACATTCAAGAATACAGATTCCAGCTGAGATAGCATTGGCTCCTGCAAGGATGTCTTCATTCTTTTTGACAGTGTACGAAGATTCAAAGATCAGCTGTTGGAACATTGTTAGAGCTTGTTGAGTGCTTCTTCAATGAAGGATGAAGGCCAATTCAGCTTGTTGTTAAAATGTGCTCTGTCCCATCTCCCTAGAAATTGAACTTTTCCTGTGAATACTGTTGACTGGTCAGCATTGAGGTTTGGTGATGAACCAATAGTCTGGGGCCCGTAGACAGATTCTAAAACAAAAAATCCCTTTCAGTCTTTGCAATCTGCACGTGATTGAAGATCATCAGCTTTCTGATTCAGCCAAGTGTTTTGCATAGGGCAGCCCTTCAGCAGGCATCATGCTTGGACCTAATTTCTACAACACAAATGACAAAGTATTTCTGCTCAACACTCATAAGAACAACCAAGAGTAAAGGATAGAGAAAAAAAAGCCTTACCCTCTTGTGTATTTTGATTTTCATTTGTGTATTTTGCATGTCATACTTCTAAACACTAATTAATCATGAACCCTCCAGCCAAACAGCATTGCAGCCATTACTGCCACAGCTCAAAAATTCCAGTAAACACTATTCCTTTTTATTTAAGCCATATTTGCATTGCAAAAATCCATGTCCTCGGGTCATTAGACAATATGTGCCTGGTCTCTGTTCAGAAAAATGGCTGTCAAACATACAATTCTCTTTTGGAAAACATTTTTCATTCTAGCTCAAAAATAAAAAGATAACCTTCTATAAAATTTCAACTTTAAAACAACTGACAGATTTGATGAGTGGGGGCTGAGGAGGTAATTCTTCCAAGCTGTAAAGATAATTTCAATATTTTTCCTGCCACTGAAGAACAGAAGAGTGAACGTGGATTCAAACATTTGGTGCCAGTTATTTGCAACACAGTTTAAAAGATCAAAACCATAAAATGGATGGTACTGTAATGACAATTCCATGTAACACTGAACGCTGCAATAAGTCAGCGGGGTGTCACTGATTTACAAGCACTTAACTTATGAACGCTCGCACTTCTAAATGCAATCTCATACACAAGTATCATTTAAAGATCCGAAATACGAATGTTTCCTGTACTTACAAACAGCTATTTTATATTGCCCTGCACTGCATTCTGACTTGCTTATAAATCGACATGCGAACGGACTCAGGAATTTGCAACTTGGGAACTGCTGTATTACATATGCAGCAAGTTCCAGATTCATGCATGCTATTTGTAGGACTGGGGAAGAGAAAGTCAAAAACAAAGTCTACTCTTTCCATGCCAATTTCACATTCTTAGTGATGAAAAACTTTATCGAACCACACCGGGAGCAAGGTTTTAAATCCTATACCCGATTCTATTGGGCTCCTTCCAGGAATTTTTAGTTTTGAAAGTGTGAAAAAATTAGAGAAGGAAATTTGCAACAATGTTCTTATTGAAGATAAAAGACTACTTTTAGTAGTTTAATAAAATGTTCTAAATTCTATGAATTTCAGTCGTGCTTTCATAGTAAAACCAACATGGAGGTATGCTTGCAGTATTATTCTCATTATTCAAATACCTTTTATTTGAAAGACTACATAAAGCTGCTATTTTACAACAAACATACGCCATCTGTGCAGAACAGGAATCTATGTAATCAAGCATATTTATGATATGTATGACTGAATCAGTACTGACACCCGAGGAACAACGTGGGGCTTTTTAAGATTTAAATATTGGATTTGCTTAGAATACAAGGAAGGCATTCTCTTTGTGAACATGCTAAGGATTAAATATCATAAGAGGATGCTGTTAAACCTTAACAAAGAGCTCTTATGTATTACAGTCTGTTAATTTCAAATAGAATAATCAAAATTATTTTGAAAATCTATGTCTGAAATAGTTAGCAATGTTTTGATTCATACTTCTCAGTTTAACCCTGCAAAAACTGCAGATGCACGTGATACAACTCTGTTCTGTGTTTGCTTATTTATCTTTGGCTGGAAGACATGCTTCCATTAATAAAATTCTTGCTTTAAAAATGTGCTAATCTCATCGCAGTTAGTCGTTAGTGCAGGAAATTAAAAGAAATCTGACAAGAGCATTTCTAAATATTGTCAAACGCAAAATAGAATCCTTACCTTTTGCCTGTAAATTCACCTTGCCCTTTCTTGTTAAATGTAAACTTGGAGTCATTGTATCCCCATCCATTCCACTTAAGGATCTCCTGCCTTAAACATAAAAAAATTACTTCAATGTGCAAAAAATGAAACATTCAAGAGCTCATGAAGCTAATTCATTTGGTACTTAAAAATATTAATGCCTTTGCAGATTAAATTGTGCAGGAAATAGCATATTTTAGTGTACTTAAAGCAAATAGGCAAAAACAAACAAGACTTTTTAAGTTCAAGAACAAAAACAGAAGTTGCTGGAAAAGCTCAGCAGGTCTGGCAGCATCTGTGAAGACCCAGAGTTAACATTTTGGGTCCAGTGACACTTCCTTGGAACACTGGACCCAAAACATTAACTCTGGGTCTTCACAGATGCTGCCAGACCTGCTGAGCTTTTCCAGCAACTTCTGTTTTTGTTCCTGATTTACAGCATCCGCAGTTCTTTCGGTTTTATTAAGACGTTTCAAGTTGTTCTGCATCTTTGATAATAAAATGTCTCAAGGCACTTCACAGGAGCAGTAGAAAACAAACACCATGCTACACAAGGAGATATTAGGTGAAAAGACCAAAAGCTTGGTTTGAAGTGGGTTTTAAAGAGCCCATTTAAGAACCAAGCAAGGCAGAGAGCTCAAGGGGCATCAGGAGGAAATTCAATAGCTTATGGCCTGGCCAAGTGGTTACAATGGAGTAACTATAAATCAGGGACACTCAAGAACCAGAATAAGAAAAGAGCAAGTAATGTGAATGACTGAGACTGAAGATGATTTCAGCAATAGCAAAGGGAAAAGCCCTTTGAAGGGGTTGAGAACATTAAGAGTTTTGAACATTGCTTGACTAGGAGCCAATATAGGTCAACGAGCAAAGGGCTGGGTTTGAAATAAGGCATGTGCAGCAGAATTCTAGCTGATAAACTTTTACTTCAGAATGTACAATGTGAGAAAGCAAACCGCACTGACCGATAACCAAGAAATGAATCAGCATTTCAGCACATGAGCTTGGGCTGAAATCAAGTACTGATAAAGAGACAGAAATAGGCAGACATGGCAATTGAACAAATCTGCAATTGGAAGCTCATTTTGGGGACAAAGATGAATTAAGGTTGACAGGCTCAACCTCATATGGTTGTTGGGGGAGGGGACGGTGTCAGTACCCAGAAAATGAAGTTTGGAGCTGAAATCAGAAACAATGGCTTCTGCCATTTAATTGCAGCAAATTTCTGCTCATCCCTACTAGATGGGAGATGCATTGCAAACTTACTGGCAGTGTAAGAGTCAAGAGAGGTAAAGGTAGAGCTGGGTAGCATCAGCATACATGTGAAAACTTACAATATGGTTTTGGGTGATATGAAGGGGCAGCTTTTTGATGAGAACTGGAAGTCCAAGCAGAGATCCTTGGGGAGGACCAGAAGCAACACCTTCAGATCAATGTATTTAATTGTGAAAGTCAAGAAATAAAAGTCTTGCATAAATCATTGCTGTTACTGTTAAAAAAACAAATCATCGGTTTTATTAATAGACTGCATTATTTTACAAACAATTTCAATTGATTACATTGAATATGCATTATGGCAAACTGTTACGAACAGAATTTGGTTTTTCTCAACCAATTCAAATGTAATAATCATGGACATTAAAATAGTGGTGTGGTTCATTCTACGCTATTTTGGATGAATATGAAGTACAATCTTGTGCTGAAGATGCCAAAACACCAAAGTGTCCAACTCAAGCTAACAGTGTAAAAATTGTCTAACGTCACGTTAGCTCAAATTCCTTCACACAACCAACCACTACTCACCTACCACAAAATTATTTTTGCTGAACTAACTTTAGAATTCCAATTTGCCGACTGAAGCAGGTCACATATAAAACTTGATTAACATTGTGTTTTGGCAAAAAGGGAAAAAATCTGGACAAATAAAAGCAATGTAAAGAGAAACTCATTTAGGCATTATGTTATTTTTCATTCATGTTCTAACAAAACAATTTAACTTCTTATCCTGACAAGTCCAGTCCACAATTCCTTCCCAGGTCAAACCTGTAGTTTGCCAGAACATGACCAATTTACTGCAAATTGTGACAAGTGTTTTGCATGCTGTTTCTGCTGGGGGTGGGGTGGGGGTGGTCAAAAAGGATCTAAAAGTAGATGATAGTTCTTCAACAGCTTTGAATGAAAGTAGCAGTCATAATACCTTTTCTTTTATCATTTTTGTTAGTTGCTTTGATCAACCCTTTTAAAGTAATGCCAAGAATTCAATTTGTTTTCATTTGCAAGTATTATTTTACAATTTTAGTCTAATCAGCTGTCATCTGTAGCACTGCAGAAATTAGAAAAACTTAACTATGAAGCTAATGAAAACTTCATATGTAATGTGGTAATAGACACCTTTCCCTCAAGAAAGGGCAGCACGGTGGCTCAGTGGTTAGCACTGCTGCCTCACAGCACCAGGGACCCAGGTTTGATTCCACCCTCGGGCGACTGTCTGTGTGGAGTTTGCACATTCTCCCGGTGTCTGCGTGGGTTTCCTCCAGGTGTTCCGGTTTCCTCCCACAGTCCAAAGATGCGCAGGCTAGGTGAATTATTAGCCATGCTAAATTGCCCGTAGTGTTCGGGGATGTGTAGATTAGGTGGGTTATAGGGGGACGGGTCTGGGTGGGATGCACTGAGGGTCGGGGTGGACTTGTTGGGCCAACTTTAGGGATTCTATGATTTCATGAATTCAACTGCACTGGAAAACTTCCAGTGAAATTATTAATAATGGGTCTTCCACCTCCACCCACAAAAGAAGTTATATAGGGTTAGCAGATCTTTCTTTCCAAGGTTATAGTCAAATCCATGAGCATTTCCATGGCATTAAGAATGTTAGAATATGCCAGCTATAAGAAATTAATTTCACTTGGTCCACACAATTCATTGCATTGAATCATATTGACAAAATAATACTGAGCTCATAACTACAAAGTATATGGAAAGCTCAACTTATGATTCTATCCTATCTTGTTCACATTGAATGAGTAGCATATTACACTGTATATTGAAGCATGCACACATGCAACAGCTGTAGATGATGGCTGAAAATCTTCAAGTATTTTTTAATATTTGATTACCATTCTTCAACATGCAGCATGGCTTAAAGCAGCTGCTTTGCAGCTGGACAGGATATATGCTACGAAGTAATGGATTACCGAAAACACTGAGTAATAGTGATTTAGTCAACGAAAGTATTTTTATTTTAAGTCTGACATTGTCCTTATTGGATTCGTAATACATGTTTTGGCACCTATTTTAAAAATATTTACTCCTCTGACAGTTTGGATGCTTCTAATATGATCCTCATCTAAACAGCTATAGCTTTAAGAACAACATGGAAATTTGTATGATTGGCATTCATACTATAATCCAGTGATCTAGTGCTAAGAAGCAAGTTTCACTGTTCCATATTCACCTTACCAAGCTCCAAAGAAGAATGAAAAAGGGGGACCAAAAAAGACTGGATTTTTAAAAAAAAAATCACTTAAAATCTTTTTTAAAACTGGATAATGAAAAGAAAATACTTCTGACCATTTGTAAATTGTTAATCCATTCTTTTCTATTATGCAGAAGTCCTCTCACACACAACTGAACTGTTTTTCTCCCCTCATCACCAATTATCCACTTCTTTTTCCTCTGTCTATTAACCACAATCAGTAAATTACTTGTGTTTTCCAACTGAATAATTTATGTGCAAAGCCCCTTAAGGGCAACGCAAACCGAAGGGGAGGGAGAGGGGACGGGGCTAAATCAAAATGGAATTGGTGGGAATGCTATTCAAATCTCACTACCACTGAAGGATATTTGTACCTGAGAAATGTTTTAATAAGCCCCTCTTCACCACTCCCTTGCCCCCAACACCCACCATATATTCCATAAAATGTTTGTACCTCAAACATTACACCAACATTGAACTGAAAAGCTTTAGGGTCACTTTTGACTTAAGGTTATGAGTGAACGGGAAATGCCAAGTCTGGATCATAACTTATGTTGAAGGGAAAATCAGGAGGCCCTAGATTATGCTCTGGGAACATGGAATCAGATCCCATTACAGCAGCTGGGGAATTTAAATCAAGGAATAAAAATTTGCTATCTCAAAACAAATCTTAGTAATGGCGACCATGAAATTATCAACCTAACTGGTTTATAGATGTTCTTCAGGCAAGAAAATTTGGCACCTTTACTATGTCAGCCTATGTGTCTCCAGAGCCACAGCCATGCGGTTGCCTCTTCACTGCCTCCTGAAATAGCTTAGCAATCACTCATTTACAATCAATTAGGGATAGACAATAACAACTCGTCTTGCCAGCAAAGCCTACGTTCCATGAAAAAAAATTTTTAAAACACCAACTCAGAAACCAAGAATTGCAACACTGAAATAAATGCATCTTTTATAATAACGAGCATAATGACCGAAACAATCTTTTCCACGTGACAGTTTCAACTGCAATACAATATTTAACACACAACATTACTTGCAAAAAAAACAATTTAAGATGATGGTCACAAGTTTGAAGTCAGGTCACCTACCAATCAAAGAATTCCCAGAGTGTGGATTTAGGCTATTCAGCCCACTGAGTCCACACTGACCCTCCAAAGAGCATCCCTCCCTATCCTATCCCCGTTACCCCATATTTCCCATAGCTAATCCACCTAGCCTGCACATCACTAGACACTATGTGCAATTTAGCATAGCCAAAACACCTAACCTCGGAGTACAGGAAGACACTGGGAGAACGATCAAATTCCCCACAGTCGCCCGAGGGTGGAATCAAACCCGGGTCCCTGGCACTGTAAGGCAGCAGCACTGCCCAGAGGGTTTACCCTTTGCTTTTTCCATATTCTGTAAATTACACTCCATAACTCTATTTTAACTAATACATTCAGAATGAAGTTACTTTGAATAATGTACTTAAAGGGGAGGAGTTTAAGTTATAGATGGAACTTTAGTCTCAAGTCTGGATCTCTGCTGTTGTATTCTTTTAAATTCAGTAATTCTAATCTTCTACTCATGAGTTTTAGCTTTGGA